TAATCGCCAGAAATACTAACGCCGACCTCGAGAGGACAAACCGCAGCAGGCGAAACTGAAAAGAGCTACCGTTGTTTGAATGCGTCGGAAACTTTCACTTCAGTATGGATCCAGAGTGGGGTTGGAGGGCGTTCGTCACTTTGAGTGACCCTATTGAGAGAGAAGGATTTCATTTTTGAGCGCCCTATTTTCATTCAAAAATGACAACATAACAACATTTTACAACTGTAATTCTGGGGAATGTAAATTTGAAGTCATCAGTATGTGTGAACCAGGCGCAAACTGCCAGTATTGACAGAGTTGTGATTATGTATCAGTATATTTAAAGGATATATAGGTAGATTACCTTTTAGTTTCCTATTTGTACATGTGTGTCGTGGTAGCAAAAATGATATTTTAGTTTGTTGGCGAGACCAATTGTCCTGAGCCATGAGGTGGTACATAGTTTTTTGAGCAGACAGTGAAAAAAACTCCTTGGGATTTTTAAGGAGAAAAATTGTCGCTCTTGTAGGGGGAGGATCTGATGGAGTATGGGGTTTAGGAGAAAAAAACGTCCGGTCTTGGGGTGAGGGTCCAATAAGGGAGTAGGGGCATTGCAGAGGTCACCAGGATCATCACTGAGTGCAGAAGGTGCGGCCTGATACTTCCTTGCTGATTGCAGAGTCCACCGACAGGTTGGAAAAACAGAAATATCTGCCCAGATCGTCGACAGTCCGCTGCGGGTCGAACCAAGAGTGAGCATTTAGGTTGCTAGGTTCGGCTGGTGCGATCGCTGATGGGGTCATCACGGTATGCAGATAGCTAAATAGGGAAGATCCTGGAGACCTTCGCATGGGATTAATGGTAGGAGAACCTAAAGATGTGGTAAAGAGGATATACAAATGATACTTAAATATTGCTAGTATTGTTATAATTGTAAATGGTCGGCGGCGGTCAGTTCATATTTAGTGCGCACTGCTACATCGATCCAACTTTCGCCTAAAAACCTCAAGTGATTCCGACATAACGACATCCAGAGGAAGATTATTCCGAACTTATGCCACCCTTTTGGCGAATAAGTACTTCCAAGCGTCCAGCCTGGCCCCAGTCACACGTAATTTGAGAGGATGACCTCTCAAGTTCGCCCATGAAACACATGGCCCCGCCGTGAGGGCACGGCTCAGAAGGGGCTATGAGGGGATAGCCCCGTCAGAATTTAATTAAGGCTAATTAATATTGCAGAAGTTATTTTCTGGCGTACACCTGTATATTTGAGGGATCCGAGAAGAAAAGTAAACCAAAATTTATAAGATTCGGTGGATAAACGTGATTTTTAAGCTAATCTTAGTAAGTATATTAAGTGAAGGGGTTCTGAGGGGGCTAGGTGGGGATTGGTCCCTTTAAAAATGGCCTGCATTTCATTGGTTGGCATCACCTCGGGACTGCACGTGACTGAATGTGATTGGCTAATTCACTTGACGTCAATCTTGCGTATTCCATTTTGATTGTA